TGGTAATCATCATAAGACAGTATGACCAGGGCTCTAGCATCAGCTTTCTGCCTCTTCCATAACATACTGTATTATATTTCAATTAAATCAATGGGGCTGGATTATATCCAGAAAAGCAAACCAAAGAAGCTTCTGCAATATCAGACTGCAAAGAAAAGGCAGCAGACTATGGCTGATGACTTTTGATTTCTTTGCCCAATGTGCAAATACAGTACCCTAAATTCATTTCCACTTGTAGCCTTTTTTGTTAGTGTAAGTGGCTCAATTCTCAGGAGAGAATTAAGGCAACATCAATCCATTAGGTGTTCTTACTTTGCAAAAAAACAGGTAACTCAAATGTCCAGCCTCCAGGCATTTAAAAATGCCAACTTGTTTTTGTTATTTTGCAAATATAACTTTTTGGCAAATAGCATTACAACAGTTCCCCCTTACCCATGGTGGATATGTTCCAAGACCCCCACGGGTGCCTGAAAGTGCAGTTAGTACCAAACCCTATACAAAGTATGTTTTTTCCCATACATACATACCTATGATAAAGTTTCATTTACAAATGAGGCACAGTAAGAGATTAATAACAATAACTGATAATGAAAAAGAACACTTATAATAATACTCAGAACAGCATGTAATTTAAATTTTATGAATTGTTTATTTCTGGGATTTTTCATTTAATATGTTTTGACCACATTGACTGCAGGTAAATGAAACCTTGAAAAGCAAAATAGTGTAAAGCCATTAGAAACAGTAGACATCTTGTGAGATATTGTCACAGTCCTTAAAACCACTTCTCTGACAACTGCTTCCACTGTTCACCCCACTCACCCCTACTGCCCTTCCTGTGTCCTTGGTAACATGGTACTCTCCTTGCCTCTCTGGCTGGAGTTTATTGAACCAAAGATTAATGTCTGGGCCAAGCAAGCTGATTACATTCTTCCTTAAGAAATTGGATTCTAGAATTATCCATTTCTAGTGGCTGCTTCAACTGAGGGCCTTTAAGATCTGTGTCAAGGACACAGAGAAGCTGAGAAAGCCAAAATACAGAATGCACAATGAACAAATAAGCAGAAAGAACAGGCCAAGTATTAAAGAGGGAATGGGAGGGGAGGAGAGAAATGAAGGAACAGGGGAGGGGAGAGGGAGGAAGATGGAGAAAAGAAGAGGAAGAAGAAAAGGGACAGAGAGGGAGAGAGGGAGGGACGGAGGGACGGAGGGAGGGAGGGAGACAGACAGAGAGTGAGAGATGAAATGAGTAGGGTAGGGAGAGAAGCTGATATTCTTCCCTGATTACTTTTTCCATTTCCTAGTTCTAATCCTACCAGAAGCCTAGATATATTCCTGCAATTCGATGTCCTAAAGAATGCCTTTATCCTTATAATAAATGGCTTGATATTATTTTATCTAATTTGTGAGTTTGCTAACACTATTAAAACTAAATAATTAAAATCAAGGATTTGACGATAATTTCAATGTAAATGTACCCTGCTCTTTTATAAATAAACTGTTGGCCACCAATTGGCTATCATTTCAAAGCAGTAACAACTCAATATCAATTCAAAGAAGTAACATTAGTAATGCAAGATAGCATGGACTCTGGAAGCCTTGGGAAAAAAATGTTAAGGGTGAAATGTAGCAGAAAAAAATTGCCAGAAGGCCCAAAATTTAGCTCTTTGTTAAATACATATGTGAATCTAAAACTAAAAAATCAAATTTCAGTTATAGAAAAAAATGCAAGCAAAATACTAAACTGTAATAGATACTAGTAGGCGAAAAATGATTGGGCATATGAACTCTTAAAAATTTTGCTATTAAGATATATATAACACAGGCTGGGCTCAGTGGTTCATGCCTGTAATCCCAGCACTTTGGGAGGCTGAGGAGGGTGGATCATGACATCAGGAGATGGAGACCATCCTGGCTAACATTATGAAACCCCGTCTCTACTAAAAATACAAAAACAAAATTAGCCAGGCTTAGTGGTGGGTGCCTGTGGTCCCAGCTACTTGGGAGGCTGAGGCAGGAGAATGGTTTGAACCCGTGAGGCTGAGGTTTCGGTGAGCCCAGATCGTGCCACTGAACTCCAGCCTGGGGGACAGAGCAAGATTCTGTCTCAGAGAAAATAAAAAAAAAAAAAAGGTATATACAACACACAGATATATTTACCTATTTATATAATGGGACACATAAAGAATAAAAAGAAACATATATACTAGGTATACACATTTCCTGAAACTCAGATATTTATCATTTGAAAACAAAAGATTGTTATTCAGATATTATCAACATTTGCATCACAATTCTAAACACATAGGTTTAACAAATTCCTATACACCAAGTACGAAAATCATGCTAGAATTCTTAAAGAATAAGCCCTACTCCTCTCAATTCCTGTTACAGTTATTGCTGTCATGTCTACTGTAAACCATAAAATGCTAATGAATGCAGATAACTGAATTAATGATAATACATAATAGCCCTGAAGACTTAGTATAAGTATACACTGAATGGAACCCATTATTCTATAAGGTTTTCCATAACCTAATACAATTTTCTCTATCAGAATGTACAGTGTGAGGACTATAGTTAATAATACTGTGTTGTATACTAGAAAATTACTAAAAGAATAGATTTTAGGTGTTCTTACTTTGCAAAAAAACAGGTAACTTCGAGATAATAGTTGTGTTAATTTTCTTGAGTGTAGTAATCATTTTGTTACATATATGTATATCAAAACATCATGTTATACACATTAAATATATGTAATAAATAAACTGTCTTTAGAAGTTAACAGAAAACAAAAACAGAAATCAGTAATGTATTCTGTAATTACATTATCATAAAAATGCTATGCCATGTTAAAGGAAAGACTTTAAAATTTTTTTTAGATCTACTTTACAGCATGGTGAATATAATTAACAAATAGAGTACTGTACATTTCAAAATTGCTAAGAGAGCAAATTTCAAATGTTCTTACCACAAAAAATGTTAAGTATTTGAGGTGATGGAAATGTTAACTAGCTTTATTTAATTATTCCACATTATATTAATGAATCATAACACTACTTTAGACCCTATAAATTTATATAATTATAAACAGTCAACTTGTAATGAAAAATAAATTAATTAAAATATGAGGAACTAATAATTGTCATAACATGAAACTGATATTTAGGAAACGTGTTTCTCCAATATAAATCTTTTTTTTTTTTGTATCTTAAAGTATCCTATAGGTAACAAAGATCTCATATTCTTTTTCACAGAAAATCTACTTGCCATGGTAAAGATAACCTAAATGCTCCAACATTAAGCCAGTAAACATTTTACGACAGTATTTGAGATGTTAAAGCTTGAAAAAAGACAAGAATTGCGCATATTAGTGGTGGGGAAAAAACAACAGAAAAATCAATAGCAAATCCATCATTAGTTCACGCATTAATAAATGTTCTCCAGTTAACAGCAGTAACAAGAAAATGTTTCTGACTTCTGGAATAATTATTTTACTGAAGGGCTTATTCTAGAACAGACAATCACTATTGACTATCGGTATGCTACAATTATGCAATTCTAATGTGAAAATATCAGCTTAAAAAATAAATAAATCAGAAGGAAATACTCAGTATGTTACAAAAATAGTCCCATGAAGTCAGAGAATTTTTGTGTTTTCCTTTTATATATACCTGGTATCTAGAAAAGTGTCTGGCATATAGTGTTGATGAATGACTGAATTAATGGGATTTTTTTTTTCCTACAAAGGCCTGGAGTTCCAGTACAGCTTCACTATCCTTTCCCATTCTTAAAGACTGTTAAGGTTTGAATTTTGTCCTCTCAAAATCATGTTGAAATTTAATTGCCATTGTAATGGTATTAAGAAGTGGGGCTTTTAAGAGGTGATTAGGCCATGAGGGTTCTACCCTCTTGGGTGGGATTAGTGCTGTTATAAAAGGGTGAGTTTGCCCCCCTCATCTCTCTTGCCTTTCTGCCTTCCACCATGGGATGACACAGCAAGAAGGACCTCATAAGGTGCCAGTGCCTTGATCTTGGACTTTCCAGCCTGCAGAACTGTGGGAAATAAACTTCTGTTCTTTACAAATTACCCAGTCTCAGGTATTCTGGTACAGCAGCACAAAATGGCCTCGAAGACAAAGACCCATGGAAGCACTTTATGGCCATGTATACTTCTGTGGCGCCTGGCTAACCAGGAAAGCTAACTGAGCGTCAGAGATAGGGTTTCACCTCCTTCTGCCACTGATCAGTTATGAGACTTATGGCAAGTCTTGTGACCATTCTAGCTATCAACTTTCTCATCTGCAAACCTTGGCAACTGTAATAAATGAAGCTTTGCAGCCACTTCCAGTTCTGTAATTTTGTAGCTAGAGTCCACTCAAGAATTCTTTTTTGAAGCTAGTTTTCTAAGGACACGATTTGGTATATACCAATTTTGTTTAGTTAGAGCCTTCATAAATGCACTTCTGAAAAAAAAAACCAGAAACACTTATCGCTATGATTCTGAACACTCTGTCACTTGAGACAATATTTTAAGTAGCATATAAAAAGAAGCTTTAAATATTTATAGCAGATAAAATAATCTAACTTTAGAAAAGAACAGACTTATAGTACAGTAGTTCAGATTTTAATTTCTATAGACTATTTTAATGGCCAAATACCCATGTATAAGATTGATTTTATTTTTGTAGTAAAGGAATCCTCTGATTTCCAGTTTATCATCAAGATATCCACATTCTATAAGAATCACACATTCAATTGTCTTTTCCCTCACTGGACTATGAGATCTATGACGGCATGTGCTAACAAAGCATGTGGAGACTGATATCTGAAACATTTGACTCTCGATCCCCTTGTAGCCTTCCCAGATTCCACCTACTCCTCCCCTTGACCAATACTGCAGGTTTTCTTATAAATGGATCCAAATTGTACCTAAATAATTTATTGGAATTATATAATTTGAGAATGTGGAGGAATGAAGGGTAAATAACCTTACTTACCTGAGCAAGCTTACGCTTTTCTGAGTTTCCTCCCTTTTCATTGTGTAATTTGTAAACTGGTGTATATTGTACAGAACTAGAACAGGTCCCATAATCTTCATCATTTTCCTACATATGAAAAAATATACCGGCAATAATTGTAAGGCACTCCTTTTATTACTAATGTCTTAGATTAATAAACAAAGTATCTGATACACATACAAGTAGCAAAATAACACTTCAGCTTTAAGTGTAAAGAATCTAAGAAGAAAATGCATTTTTCTATAATCGAAATTAATAAATTTAATTTAATAAGGTTAATGATCAATGATCTTAATTATATTACAAATTTAATTTAATAAAAATAATTTAAAATCTTAGATTACTTTGAATAATCTGAATAAAATTTATATAAAGATAATTTTCTATCACTACACTGGAAGTTTTAAGTAGTATGTTTTCTCCAAAGGTAAAAATTCAAAACATAACAACTGATAATAAAATCTGCAAAGATATAAATTAAAATCAACACACATATACACATATTTATATATCTGCAATATTCATAGCTTAAATACATACATAATTTTTTGTAAATTAAGAACATTCTTCATTTTAAAGTAATACTATTGGAATGAGACTATCAAAACAAATGATGGCGTTCCTGGATTACTTCTACACAAAAGATATATTTAAAAAAAATCTTAGCATAAAGCAAGAACTTCAATTGTGATATCAAGGCAATTAACTTTATGAAAACATACATCCTGTTAAAGCATCTTTGAAGATTTCCATAGTTCTGTGATAAAATATGCAAACAGTAAAGAGATTATTCAGTGAATGCATACAGAATAGCAGATAGTTGCCAGAGGGCTTGTAATAAAAAAAACATTCTTGAGCAAAGGGCTAAGCATATTTCAAAAGTCATTAAAAATATAAATTTCTAATTTGTAAAGTATAAACTTCAAATTAATACAAGAATCAAGGTAAAAAGGAAAAAAAGTGAATATGACATACCTTGTGTTTTAGTTTACTCTTCACTTCCTTTAGTCCCAGCTTTGCATGATTTTTTGCCTAGAAAATGATAATAAATGTGCCTAGCTCAGGATAGTTCCATTACCATTTAAAGAATAAGTATACAAGACAACATCTAATGACAATTACTAACTATTCATATGATTTAGAAAAAGAACAGATTATAATCTTAACACTCTATTTTCAGGGATACACATTATCACTTACTATTTTATTACACCTAAATCAGTTGGTAAAACCATTAGTCTCTTCTTTGTATACAAGTATCATATGAAGGCTAACATTTAGCCTATGTTGTTTCCTAAACTATTAAGAACACAAAAGGAATAAACCAGATTACTAATGTTAAAACTGTTAACAAACTGGAGGAACAGAGAAAGTACATCCCAGCAGCAAGTTATTTGGGCAGATGTTTAACTTGAAGAAACTTTGGCAATTTTACAAAGCTTTATTAAGCGCTTTTACAGACAGACACAGAATTTTATTAGCAGAGCCATCTTAATGGAATGGTATTTTATATATAGTTTTTCTGGTAAAAATTAAAAGTCATTTAACAATTTAAAGCTATACTCATGTTTCACAGGGAATCTGGCCACAGCATTTGAGTTTCTCACATCCTGCTGTGATTCCTGTGGGGTATAACTTAACTAAAGACAACTGGGGGCTTTCATGAAAGCCCTAGCCTTTGTTCCACTAGAAATTCCTACCCACAGTGGCCAAGGTGAAAAAGAAGAGAAAAGGAATTCATATTTATTTTGTTTCCTAAATACATGACTGTGTGCTTAGCATGCATTATCTTAGGTAGTTATCACAACAATTCTGTAAGATTAGTACTACTATAATCACATTTTAAAACAAGGATAGTGACTCAGGGAGACTGTAATCTAGCTAACTATCCTCTAATCCACCTGATCACATTAATCTTTTCAGATACTCTACAGAGTTGAGGCTACTAGTGTCAGTCTTTTCCATAGTTTTATAATTCCATAGTGCACTGATTCATTTAAATAATTGTTGTCCTATGTCCTTCTCTGACTTCCTTCAGATTACCTGAAGATGGGATATAGGTTCTCTCTATCCTTTTCAACTTACCAGTTTGAAGCTTAACAAAATGCATGTATTCTCCAGAGAAATGCTCCAAGCAAATGGCTTTGGTAATAATTTAAAATTGAGACCTAACAAGAAAGATGACTTTGAAAACCGCTTAGCCAAATAAAATATGAATTACACTTTGCTGTTATTCTTAAATTTATACAAGTGTGTATGATAACTCTAGTTTTCTGTATGACCCCTATCAGCATGGAAAAACATATGCATGAAAAGCACAGGAAAAAATTGTAACCATAAAAATAAGTATAAAAATGTTGTAAGAACAGGACGGAATCATTATTCGCTTTGACAAACACATACTCAGTATTTCTGTAGTATGTTCAAAGTGCAGAGCAAAGTGATAGGAAAACAAATATAAAAGTAGGAACAGTATCTCTTACTGTACCCTCATGCTCTGCTATAACTCCAATGATGAGTATAAAGCCTAGTTCATGATAGGCACTCAAATAATTTGTGAATAAATGAGATAGAGGTAAAAACATGATTCCTACTTTTGAAAAATTTACTACCTATAGAAAACCAAGGTAAGTAAATTCCGTTATACCACACAACAGAAATTGGGAGTTTTATTCATAGCAATTTGTGGTAAAAGAAGGAATTTCAGAGTACAGATATCAGAAAATAAGCAGTCTGGAAAGATCAGTTTTAGAGACAACTACAAAGGTCACAAAATGACTGACTTACCTGCCCCAAACTTCTGGATTCAGGGATGATATGATCACAAGATAAATGATAAAAGTGATTAGGTATATTCTAAAGACCTTAATTCACCTGAAATTAATTAATTTAGGGAATAATTCTCCAGAGTAGAATTTTTTTTTTTTCCCTGAGACAGAGTTTCACTTTGTGGCCCAGGCTGGAGTGCAGTGGCGCAATCTTGGCTCACTGCAACCTCCAATTCCCAGGCTCCAACAATTCTCCTGCCTCAGCGTCTCAAGTAGCTGGGACCACAAGCACACACCACCACACCTGGATAATTTTTGCATTTTCAACAGATAGGTGGTTTCATCATGTTGGCCAGGCTGGTCTCAAACTCCTGACCTCAAGCGATCCACCGGCCTTGGCCTCCCGGCGCTGGGATTACAGGCGTGAGTCACAGCACCCGACCCAAAGAACAGAATTTTTAATTTGAAAAGATTTTACTTCCTTGCAGAGAAGAGTTCAAAATAAAATACTCCACTGATTAGAAGGATAAATTTTAAAATAATGAATAGGGTTTTGAATATGTTTGCTTCATTGCTGTGCTTTTGTGAAAAATGAGGGAAATTAAGGCAAGACACATATTTGGCAAAACAATACAACTTCAAGACTAAAAAAAAAAAACCCTCAACTGCCTGCTCCAGAAGAAAATGAAGGGCTATTGACTGTGAAACTATTTTTAGAATCTTAAATGAATATGAGAAACAAGGATCAACATTACTTTGCTTTTTCACATGGTAGTTGTGTGCTATTTCAGTGTGAAAAAAAATCTCTTCAAAAACTGCACTAAACCACCAGAAAGATTTCCTAGGAAAGCCATAGAACAATGAAACAAATGCAGAGGCTGAAGTTTCTAAGGCAAAATGATAACCTTGTCTTACTTTGGCTTTATGGTTAGGGTTCAAATAACTATAATTTTGGGACTGTATTTTTTAATCAATTCTATAGATTAGCTTCCCTACTATAAAATTTAATATTTGAATGGAATTTTTAAACAGAAAGAGTGGCCACATTATCACAATTTTCAGTCAAGGAATAACAGAAGTTCTAAACTTTTATTAAAATATACTATTTTATTATTAATTCAACCACATCAATTCATTTACTGAGAAAAGCTTTTGAAGACAAATTCTTACAAAATCAAAACTATTGCCTTAAATATTTTTAGAAATATAAAATATATGACCTATTGAATTTTTAAAAATTTATTGAACACAACCCACTAGCTTCCCTCCTGAGAAGTTACTAGACTAGTATTAAGACAGAAATGTACATAGACAAAACAAGTGTGGAAACAGAAGGTCCTACAGATACAAAAATACGTATATAAACATTTTTGTGTAGGGTTGAGAAGACAAAAATATGTGTATAAACTTTTTTTGTGTAGGGTTCAGAAAAATTTTTCAGGGGAAATAATGTCTGAACTAAGTCCTACAAAATGAACTGGTGTTTTCTAGGTGGATAAAGGCCAAGAAACTGACATTCCAATTAATAGGAATGGCTTGACCAAGAATCAAAGGGCAGAGGAGAATATCTTATATTCATGAAACGAAGAGCAGCTAAGTATCTTCAGAGATATGGAAGGTTCTGAGGTGTAGGGGGAAAAGGAACTAGACATGAAGGGTTGGGTTTTGAAGGGTCTTAATTGTCATATTAAAGAGTTTTTTTACTTTATCATTTATTGTTTACTTTATTATTCTTGGTTTTTTCCTATAAGTCTTAGAGCAAGGGTGTCCAATCTTTTTGGCTTTCTTGGGCCATACTAGAGGAAGAAGAATTGTCTTGGACCACACATAAAATACACTAACATTAACAAAAGCTGATAAGCTAAAAAAAAAAAAAAAGAAGAGAAGGAGAAGAAGGAGAAGGAGGAGGAGGAGGAGAAGGAGAAGGAGGAGTAGGAGTAGGAGAAGGAGGAGGAGGAGGAGAAGGAGAAGGAGAATAATAAGAAGAAGAAGGAGAAGAAGGAGAAGAAGATTACAAGAAAAATCTCATAATGTTTTAAGAAAGTTTAAGAATTTCTGTCGGGGCTAGGTGCAGTGGCTCACACCTGTAATCCCAGCACTTTGAGAGGTGGAGGTGGGCAGATCACTTGAGGTCAGGAGTTTGAGACCAGCCTGGCCAACATGATGAAACCCCATTTCTACTAGGAAGACAAAAATTAGCCAGGCGTGGTGATGGGTGCCTGTAATTCTAGCTACTTGGGAGGCTAAGGCAGGAGAATCGCGTGAACCTGGAAGGTGGAGGTTACAGTGAGCAGAGATCGTGCCACTGCACTCTAGCCTCGGTGACAGAGTGAGAATTTGTCTCAAAAAAACAAACAAAAAAAAAGAATTTGTATTGGGCCTCATTCAAAGCTATCCTAGGTCACACGCAGACCACAGGTCATGGGTTGAACAAGCTTGCCTTAGAGACTCACTGAAGAATGTTAATAGACGGTAAATGCATCTTTGAGGGAAAAGACCTTGCTACATTTTTCTTTTTTTTTTTTTCCCCCTACTTGAGCCACAAGTACACAGCAAGAATGTAAAATGTTGTTAAATGAAATAATGACATTTTACAAAATGGCACCCCATCATGAACTGTTTCAATTTGCTGCACAACTTTGCTGATAGCTTTGAAATAAAATGAGAACCATTTTTAGATTATATAAAAGAAACTACCCTCTGCATGCAATGTTATAATTTTAACAATTGAATTTTCTTTGGTCAATATTAATCCTAAAATTTTTAGGTTTATTTAAAAGAAAAATAGAAAATATTCAGAATTTACATATCTATCATCTAGGAAAATGTTATATAATTTCATAAATGGGAGTTTAAATATCAAAAAAACTTACAAATTTATATGCTGTCCGTACAGCAGGGGTTGCTTTGGTCATTGCTGTGTTGAATAGTGCACCTCCTTTCTGCAAAAGAAAAATGGAAAGACGTTTGGCCAAAATGTCCTGAAAACAAAGTATTATAGTAAGTTGCATAAAAAAAGAGCTTTACTCACAACTTAAAGACATACACAAATTATTTCATGTTCAGTGTTTTCAAGTTTCTATGTACTATATAATTTCAAACAAAATGTACACTTTCCACTTTATTCTTTAGTTGATATAATACATCACTTAAAAATCATTTCTTCCTTGAAGGTTAGGTAGACTTGAGCAATATGACTAGTAATTTGAATATATTTAAAGCTTAATAAGAAAGAAATACAAGTTTATCAGCTGTTTTAATATTGGGCAAATAAAGTCTCTGTCGGAGAAAGTTTCATATTTAAAAATCATATTAACAAAACTACATTACCACAAATTATAAAATTGCCATCAAATCCTACTAACCCACCTAATTTCTTCTTCTGGAAAATAATATAAGAAAAACAAGATTTGGCAGGAAAATCTTGCTTTTCAAAATGAGCCATTTATCTTTAGACCAAAACTTTCCATTTAAAAATTATCTTAATGAGTATCAACAAACTATAAACATAAAATAAGAATATTTAAAATATGACAAAATATACAAACATTTCAAATGTTTCAAATAAACAGCATAAGTATAAACAGCATACTTTTGCTGAACATTTCTCCATTTATATTAGAGTAAAAGAATAACATTTGAAAGCTTATGATTACCTTGACTGTATGAACCCATTGTTGATATGACCTCGGGTTCCCTGGAATATATAAAAATGAGATGCCAGGAATGGTTGATCAAAAATAAATCATAAACCAAAATTTATCAAGATAAATCGTAAACCAAAATTTATCGAGAACTAGTATTTGTACAATTTTTAGTAGGCAAATTTTATATGCACTGTTGTAAAAGAAGCAATAAAAGCAATGGCATCATAAGAACTAATAAATTGCCCTAATTCTTAGGAATAGAGTAATTAGCAATTTTAGGAATAACAGAGAATCACTTTTTCTTCATCCATATCTGAAACCTAACAGTGTTCAATCTTCTTTCACTTTAATATTAGCCTCAGAGGAGAAAATATAACCAACCTCTCTTTTGAAATCCGAATTTCTTATGTTTTTCAAACTGACTTTTCAATGTTTAATATCTATGTTGTTTTGTAAACTTTGCCTCTTTTACACAATTAGGTTTATTTTAAAATAATATTTCATGTACATAGAGAACTTTAAAAAAAACTAGAAGAAAATTTAGAAGTGCAAAAACTTTGGCAACAAAAAAACATTTTTCTACAACTGCTAAATATTAACAGAGATTAGTAGCTAACTTTATTTTAATGTAAGCTTGCAGTTTTAGTTTTGAAAATATCCTCTAGTTGTAAATCTGTTAAGTTAGAAAACTATTACCCAAGGAAATGTGAAGCAAATGCAGCTTTTAGGTTATAGGTTGTCGTGATTATGAAAAAGCTCAAGCGCTAAAAAAAGTAGTTCTAATAATATCTGGCAATCAACATATCTGGTTCCAAACTGATAAATACTTTAGTCAATAAGATGATATCAGAAGGTAAAAAAAGAAATACATATACAACTTATCTAATCTTTCCCATAAACTGATCTCAGTTAGATTTCAGCTACCTTCTTGTTTAAAAACTTAAATACTCCCTAAGTCACAGGGGTAAAAAGTCACAATAAAGAAACAAAATCCCAGGTCTGTTGTAGTGGCTCCTACCTATAGTGCCAGCTACTTGAAAGGCTGTGGCCGGGGCACTGTTTGGCCCAGGAGTTCAAGGTGGCAGTGTGCTAAGATTATGCCACTGCACTCCAGCCTGGGAGACAGGGCAAGACTCCATCTCTCTCTCTTTTTTTTTTTAAGTCCCAATGGCTACTCAGACACTATCCAGTACAAAGAACCCCTAAAACATACTGTTCTCCTCTACTTTGTGGCTGTGGATTTTAAAAGATGTATCAGCTTGCTCTTACAAAATAGAGACAAAATGATCTCAGTCCCAAAATTTCTTCCTAGCTGTTATCTTTGCATCTCTGATCAACATCAGGCAAGAAGTGTCCAGCTCTGGATTCACTTCTATATTTAAAATCTTACTCTAATTTAAAAGAAATCTCAAGAAACAATTTTTATTCTGAAAAACATCTCTGACTACTCAGAACACAGCACTGCACCTTTTCTGGGGATGAAATATGACAACAAACTTTTTTTTTCACATTATTTAACTTGTGAAATAACTACAGCAAAATGTAACTACCTAAAATAACCTTTGTAAAAATAAGTTGTACTGTTTAAAAGGTGTGAGTTTCAGGTGATATTTGGTTTGACTAAACTTTTAAAAGTATATTTCCCTTGTAAAATAGTAAAACATTCCAAGTTATCCTACCAATTTATTTCTCAGAGATATTTTTAAACTACAAAATAAACCACAGATCTTTACTCATCCAGATTATTCATATATGTTTATTTCTGTATTTAAAGAGCTCTCATCAGTTCATATACTTATTACTTCTCTACTAAAAATGGTTGAGTGGAAATCATATATTTAAGACTTTGTTATTATTCACAGTATTCTGGAAAGTGTTTTAATTGTTTTCCCAAAATAAATGTAAGAAAGTGGAGGAAGAAACACCAGTTTAGCATTCTGTAACCTTTGTCAATTCAGGAAACAATTTTTTAAAACCTCTGAACCACAAAGAAACTAGCTATCATAAAAGTTTCAAACCATTGTAGAAAGGTTAGGGTCTTATTTAGAACTATGAGGAATAAAAAAGCTAATTTTCAGCTCTGTACAAGTCATCACGTTTTTATCTACATTATTTGAACTGTATTTTTCTACTGTAGAATAGGCAAACAGTGCCATAAGTGGTCAGTTCAATGAGAAGGAAGTGGGCTTTGAAGTCCAATGGACCTTTGGAGCTCAGGCCTACTCTATCCTTGTGAAGGATGTGATTTAGGATAAGGTCGTTAACTTGGCTGAGCATCAGTTTCTTCATTCATCAAATAAGCATAATAGTCATTGCCCTTCAGGATTATTGTGAGGATGAAAGATAATGATTAAACAATGTTTGGTATAGTACATAGTATATTGAAGAAATATCATAAATGATCATTATTACTATAAATAATTTGCCAAAACAGAAAACTGGGGTTCTATGATGACGTATTATTCACTCATGTTCTCAAGGCTAGCAACTGAAAAAGAATCATCATCTAGGATTTTAGTTCCCGGTTCATTATTCCTTCAAGTCTGAAAAACTACGTCTAAGACTGCTATGTAAAATATGATTAAAACTTAAGTTATACAGAGTTTCCTCTATATCACACCCAAGGCAATTATATTTGAAAGGGAAAGGGACTGCTCAAGGCTAATACCCTGAAAAAGAAGGTTAATAAAGAGAATTACCAGTAATAATCTAAAATTTCATAATATAGGGGCAAGGAAGTCCCTTGCTTTGATGTTAGGAAAACATGGTACAATTCAGGCAGATTCCTATTTTAAAAGTTTTAAGGGCTAATTGTGCCTTTAAATTTCAGTGCTTTTATGATTTAAGGTTCCTATTTCCACAATATTTATGAGAAAAGCACATTATTCTTTAGTAGTATTAGAAAAGAAGCTGTTGTTCTTCTAAAAATTAATTTGAATGCTGAAGAAATCCCTCAGAATCCTTCTTTTAAAATAACTGGATTATGGCAATAATACGCATTACTGAGGAAATCCTTAACATTATTTTTGTTAACAAAACAAGTGATTTTCTCACACTCAAGGACAAAATATCTATTTCTCACTTATGCCAAGACTTTCTCTTCAAATGTACTTGCTTAAATTTCAGTAATTTGTACTTATTTATCTCAAAATATAAATTGGTCTAAATTGTTCAACAAGGCCGGAAAAATGCCATTAAAACTGATATTACCTACCGCTTCCTTCAAATTCCTTTGATACCTTAGTCAGTAAAACTAAATAAGAACGGAAAAATAAATAAAAGAAGAAATAAAAGACTCATCAGATTATATGTGTAAACTAAGGAAGAAACACATGCTAGTGATGGAGAGTTAACTACACACTCCTCATAAAAAGAATCTGAAAACATTTCTCCTTTTTAAAGTTAACTTGGTGTAAATTTAAAAACTAGTTTTCTTTTAAATGAAAAAAATATTTAAAGAGAGAATATGTGCTTAACTACTCAATATTCTTTACCTGCTTTTTCACAGACCAATACTATGTTTACTTAAATGCATCCTTTGTTCTACTCCTGTCCTGTTTTATTATCTTTTAAACTCCATGATTATTCTTCCCTTTACACATTCCTTTTAAGTTAAGTTAAAATTTTCCTTTTTAGTTAAGGTCAAAGATGTTGCAAGGGTCTCATGAAGGAATAAGGTGTGACATGGATTTCCCTAATAGTCCTGCTGAGGGCTCACAGGTCAGAGGCAGGTTTTAAAAACATGCATGCATTCACAGATTCTGTAACCATACACTTCTAGATTCAAATGTGAATCTAGATGTTCCTTATCTGATTGTCCTGCACTGTATATTTTTAATCAGAGCCACAATAATGATAAAGCTCCATCATATTCATATTCATTTTATCATAACCATCGGCATTAACAAAAATAGTGTATAAACTACTATTGCAATGATAAAGAGGAGAAAATACATGTTTCTCTGAAATTTCCTAATTATTTTTGCTTAAAGGAACATAAGTTTTTCTTAGTTTTAATGTTAATTTCTGCCACAGTGGTCTTTCTAGGACTTTATGTATAAAAAATCTACAAGAAAGTCAAAAGAGATGAGAATTTTGCTTTGATTCAATCAGAGTAGGAAAGGGTTAAGTATTACTCTTGTTTACTGAATGTTTTTGCATTAAGAAAATCTATTATAAAAAACAGGATATCTTTGAAGTCACATAGACACATGTGGAATTGAAACTCTGGCCACTACTGGCTGTGTGACCTTGAGTGAATTATTGAGCTGAATACTCAATAAAAATGAGCTAATGAAAGTATCTCCTTGGGTGTTGTGAGGATTAAATGAGATAATATTTGTAGAGCTCTTGGGAGAGTTTCTGCCACATACTAGTGCTCAATAAATATAAGCAATTATTATATTACTATTATCAGGAGAGAAACAACAATGTTAGATCAGTTTACTTCTTTGAAGCATAGGTTGATTTCATGACATCAACATATTCTTCTTTCTCACAAGGGTAGTGTGAATGACAAATGTTTGGAACTGACCTCTAGAAACCATTTTGTAAAGACACACACACACACACACACACACCCCTAGCTGGATGGATATCTTCTAATTAATAGTTAGAACACTGCTAATTTTTATTATATTAGTCATCTTTTTATTTCAAATTCTAACACATTTGAGTTTATTTTCATCTACAAAAAAAGTCTGTGTATCTATAACATAACATAGAATAATTTAAAAATAATGCTTTGCAGGCACAAATTTCTAAGGAACTTTCTTGCTGTACTCACTGGAATTAATATTTGTCAAATTAGGCTTTCCTTTTAGATAAGTACTGGCTCTCTCAAATTAAAATAAGAGTTCAAAACCTTTTCATTTTAATAAAGAACAACAAAGTAGTGGGCATTAAGTTGTATTGAAAATGTAGCAATTTCTAAGTCAGATACTAATTGGCAATCATATTCTAAACTTTTTTAAACAATAAGGCTTTTCGTGAAAATTTTAGTAGGCCCTCCCACCAGAAAAGTCACCTATCTCTACTCTATTACAGAGGTACCTGGACCAATGGTTAAGATTACAGAATTTAACTGTACAAAAGGATCATAGTTCTAGCCTCTTATTGTCACAAAATGTCATCTTCAATTCTATAAAAGCTACTAGCCCCACGGGTCATAAAGATAATGAGACAGCAGTTATGTAAATACTGAAGAGATGCCTCAAGCAACTTGTCCATGAGCTGACAATATTTTGCTTGTCTGAATTGAGAAGTAAAAAAGTCTTATTTTAACACGAAAGTTCAATTGAAGCTAAATTTTTACCCATGAACTGAGGGAAGCAAGGAGCTGAATGATTCCACATTCAGCTTCCTTGCTGAGTCAAGCAAACTAACTTTTCCCCAAGCTAAATGCTTTCAATGAAATGCTATACTTATATCAGATAAAGTTCCACAACTGCTGAGTTCATTTGTACTTCCTTTAATGAACCAATTATCTCAATGGTTTCTATATTTTCATGATGGGAAAATGAATCTTAAAAATAACGTTAAATTTTGTGGAATGTGTAGAGGAGTACCTATTACGTTTTGTCTTTTCATGTTTCATTTCTCAATTCCAGCATCTATTTATTTACACATAGACTGAAATTTTTTTTCCTCAAAACAAACATACAAAGAAGTTTTAAAAATTGCTATTATACCAGGTCAAAAATTAACACACTAAGATATAGAATACAGGGATTTTTGTTTATTTAGTACACCTAATATTTAGAACAGTGCCTAATACATTGTAAGCACTCAGCAAATGACTTGAGTCATTTCAAGGACTCAAGCAAAATGCTCTGCAAGTCAAGACTATACACCACAGCAATCGTGCAAAAATATCAGTTTGTAAGTTATTAATTGCCTAGATAATTATATTATTATTTGAACATTTACACTAGAAGGATTAATTGTATTTATGGAATGGTAAACTGGAAACTTTCCTAATGCTGCAGTGATCTATAAAGTAAAAAAGGTAAAGATATCTAGATAATAATACAGTTACTTAAATATGTAGAAAGAATTTTGGTGTTCAGACCTTTCTTTTTGGATTGCATTACCAATCGTAACCTTAGTTCTTAAATTCATACTCAGTAATAACCATCATTAGTAGTTTTCTAACAGAGAATACTACTATTCAGAAGGAAAGACAGGAAGATACGAGTTGACTGGATTTCTGTATTACTGATTTCCATCAATATTAAGAGATTATCCAGGCCAACAGCTACCAATTCATGAGGCCAACTTAATGCCTTGAGTAACAGATATCAGGCAAAATAAGCTAATACCATATCTTTTATAAGATGAAAAAAATATATTTAAGACATTCCATATTTAGGAGAAAATAGTTGTTCATGAAATAGGTTTTATCAGACACAAGTGCAAAGACTGAGATGACTGTTATTGAGAAAATGGATAATCATATTGTAACTTGTCTTTACCTCCACAAAAGCCACCTGAAGTGATCTCTTCTTCAAATACATCAGAGAAACCCCTTCCTGCATTTAGTTTTGCCAGTCGACCATCGATAAACTAAAATTAAAAAGTATCAAATAAAATGTTATCCAATAAAATGTTAATTTTACATTTATTTTATAAGGTTAGATTTTTACTTACATCAAAAACATTAATAACAGACTCTTGTATAAGTTACACATATATGGTGTATATATACACACACATGAAAATTCTCAAACAATGGAAAGAACAGGTGCTCAATAAACAGTTGCTAATTAATTAAATCGCAAATGTACAGCAAAGACTCTAAATCTAACTTATTAGCAAAAAATAGCAAAGTGCAGTAGTAAAGGTCATAGGCTCTGGAAAGGTTGCTCAATGCACAATCTCTGCAGAGGGGTTTGTACAAAGGTACTATTGCCTTGCCAAGCCATTTACTCAAGGGGCTCTGTCTTCCCCAGCCAGGCCTGTTTTCCCAGTGCCTGCCTCATGGTGTTGCTGCAAACAACAAATTAGATTAACCTAAGAAATGTGACACAGCAAGTATCTGTGAGATACTAGACATTACCTTTTTTTCAGCTTATTAACTTCATTCAGTAAAACACTACTTGTCTAAACTATTATATTCTAATGCATAACAGAGCACCAAATAATTTTAACCATCTACAATAAAATCAATACAACTTTCACAGTTCCTGGCATATGTGATCACTGAATGATAAGAATTATGATTAGTAAGTTAAATACAGTTGAGGTAAATGCATATTGACTTGATATGCATGAGGTTATTTTAGGCGATATTTTTCAGTGTTCTTAAAAAAGAGGTTGGAAGAGTGGGAAACTGAAACTATCAAAAGCACCTGAAGATCATTTTCAAAGTGCAGAAATCCAAATACCCTGGAGACTATCTTCCATTGCCTGTCCTGCTCCAATCCTTACCTGTTCCAACATACACAGCATATCAGAATCTCACGATATTAATGCTGCATTTGAAAAGTATCCTGAGTATTTTTATATGACCAACCCAAGGTGAAAATCAATGATTCTACATACACACACACACACACACACACACACACGTATTACTAGCACTTGGTTACCTTTTATTTTGTTGATTTGTGGCACCTAGAATTTGATACGTTGTAGTTTACTCCATCCATAATGATGATGAAGTATCTTTAAGTCTTCCTTGCTTAAGAGGCAGGGGATAACATAGGAAAGATTTACATGCTTTTTGCAAGGAGGACTTGAAGATGGATTAAAATGTTCGGTTGCATCCAAAAACTAACTAATCCTGACCATAATTTTTTACCCTAGAAATTTAAATTTTACCTGAACTAAAATAAAGTAGTTGGTCTTAAAAAAAAAAAGAAAAAAAAAAACTCAGATACTTCCCTGGTTTTCTGTTTGAATGGTTAATGAGCAAAACTAATTGAGATGCGTTGTACAGGACAATACAATATTCCTCAGCAGCAATTTAAGATAATTAATAGGCTGGGGATGGTGGCTCACGCCTGTAATCTCAGCACTTTGGGAGGCCGAGGCAGGCAGATCACGAGGAGATCCATACCATCCTGGCTAACATGGTGAAACTCCATCTCTACTAAAAATACAAAAAAATTAGCCAGGCGTGGTGGCAGGCGCCTGTAGTCCCAGCTACTGGGGAGGCTGAGGCAGGAGAATAGTGTGAATCCGGGAGGTGGAGCTTTCAGTGAGCCAAGATTGTGCCACTGCACTCCAGCCTGGGCGACCAAGCAAGACTCCATATATATATAAAAGCTGGGCATGGTGGCGCATGCCTGTAGTCCCAGCTACTCAGGAGGCTGAGGCAGAAGAATCGCTTGAACCTGGGAGGTGGAGGTTGCAGTGAGCCGAGACTGCACCACTGCATTCCAGCCTGGCAAGAGAGCAAGACTCCGTCTCAAACAAACAAACAAAAAAATGTGTTGGAGGGGGGAGGAAGATAATAGCAGTAAGTCACACCAGTTATAAGACTTTGATACAAAAATCTCTTACAGAAAAAGTGAAGAAAGAATAGAAAATGAATCAACAGATTCACGTTCAAAATGTGGTTTACCCAGACCAAGGGAACAGAATAAAGACCCCTGAAATAAAGCTGCACACCTACAACCAACTGATCTTTAACAAAATTGACAAAAATAAATAATGGGGAAAGACATCCTATTCAATATATGTGCCAGGAAAACTGGCTAACATATGCAGAAGAATGAAACTGGAGTCCCACATTTCAAGATATAAAAAAATTAACTCAAGGTGAATTAAAGCCTTAAATGTAAGACCTCAAATTAAAAACCTTTCTTCCTAGAAGAAAACCTAGGAAATACCCTTTCAGACATTGGCCTGGGCAAATAACTTACAACTAAGTTTTCAAAAGTAAATGTAACAAAACCAAAAATTGACAATTGGGGCCCAATTAAACTAAAGAGCTTCTTTACAGCAAAAGAAACTATCAATGGAGTAAACAGACAACCTACAGAATGGGAGAAAATACTGGCAAACTATGCATACAACAAAGGACTAATATCCAGAAGCTATAATAAACTTAAACCAACAAGAAAAAAACAAGTAACTCCATTAAAAATTGGGCAAAGGACATGAACAGACACTTCTCAAAAGAAGATATAAGTGGCCAAGAAACATATGAAAGAATGCTCAACATCACTAATCATCAGAGAGACGCAAATCAAAACCACAATGAGATACCACCTCACACCAGTCAGAATGACTATGATTAAAACGTCAAAAAGTAACAGATGTTAACGAGTTTATGGAGAAAGGGAACACTTACGCACTGTCTGTGAGAGTGCAAATTAGTTCAGGCCCTGTGAAAAGCAGCTTGGAAATTTCTCAAAGAACTAAAAATAGAATTACCATTCGATCCAGCAATCCCCTTATTGGGTATATAGCCAAAGGAAAATAAATCATTCCACCAAAAAGACACCTGCATCTGTATGTTTATCCCAGCACTATTCACATAGCAAAGACAAGGATTCAACCCAGGTGCCTTTTAACAGCAAACTGGATAAAGAAAATGTGGTACATACACACCATGGAATGCTTTGCAGCCATAAAAAAGAATGAAATCATGTCATTTGCAACCAATAAATGATGCTGGAGGCCATTTATCTTAAGCAAATTCATGCAGAAATAAAACCAAATACTGCAAGTTTTCACTTAAAAGTGGGAAGTAAACATTGGGTATACATGGACACAAAGACGGGAACTATAAACACTGGAGAGTTCAAATGGTGGGGAAAGGTGGGAGTGGGACAGAGGTTGAAAAACTACCTATTGGGTACTATGTTCATTATCTGGGATATGGGATTATTAGAAGCCCAAACCTCAGCATCATGCAACATACCCATGTACCATACCTACACATGCACCTCTGAATCTAAAATAATGAATGAATGAAAACAACTATTAATGGGAAAATGTGCTTTAATCATCCTTTTATCATCATCTAATGCTTCTGAGTGAAACTGTGGTAAGATAGGTTTAAATAAACATAGCCTAAAATAATGGAATCTTAGATTTTTTTAGAACATGAGTTGTTCTCACAAAACTTAGAACTATTTGAGGACAGGGACCATATATTACCCATTTTCACATCTTCATTATGCTTGGCATACAAAAGGTTTCCTATAGTATAAATCGACATGGAGTGTGGAGTATAAAAGGCCTGCATCACAACTCGGCCACTTACTAGTTTTATGATCGTGGGCCACTTGTCACCTCTAAGACTATTTCTCCTTCTGTAAAATGGGAGTAATAAAAATATCTTATGGGGTATTACAAGAGCTAATTAAAATATTATGAAGTGTCTGCATTGTGTACACCAAATAAATGCTAAATAATAAAGTCCACTTCTCCCAGTACCATCACCTTTTCTATCTCTGTCAAATTTTTATGAGCTTCCCGAGGGAAGATCAGTCTTTCTTGTGTATGCATCTTCAATACCTGGCAAAATACCTGCCATAAAGTTTGAACTGAGATGTTGTGGAAATACTGAAGTACACTTTAACAATGCTGAAGTTCATATACTTTTACCTGGTTTTAAAGTTAAATAATTATAATGCATAGAACTAATTCATTTCATTCTATCTTGAGATCAAAGCTAGGAACTTATAATGTTGGCATCTTTGCTATATATAATAGTAATTTTTTTAAAAGGTGGTTTAAAATGCACCCAAAATTTGACTTGCACACATTTGTAACACAGTATTATAAATCAAAGTGATCTAATTTGATGGACTAGTTATAATTTTTCTAAAAAAAATAAAGTGAAAGCAAAATGATAAAGTGAAAATAATACATTACTGACAAATAGAACAAACTAAGACATCCTTTTAAAGGACTTAATTTGCTCTAAAAGATTAAGACTAGAAGACTTGCTAAAAGGTTTTCATTTTTATGTTTACTAGAAATAATCCATCCATTTCAGAAATAAGTGGAACAGTTCAAGTCTAAAAGCGATAAATCCCAAAACTATTTACTGATTATGCATTTTTGAGTATGAGTAACTACTTTGTCTTACTAACCTAGTGATTTGAGCCAATAGAAATTAATCACTCAGTAAAATGACACGTGTTATCACTGACTTTGCAAACAATCCTGTCAGTGGCAGACACCAATGTACACAATGAATTAAAATGTTTGTTCTTATAACAAAAGATTGATTTCATGCATATACATATATTGTACATAGATGCATATAAATAGACACCCAGGAATAAACTGAAAAGTGTTATTAATGAGTAGAATGCTGAATTTAACAGTTCTTCAAACACCTTTTTCTATTTTTATTCAATAACAGCTATTGTTCCCCCAAGTGGAGTTGGTTCATGTTTATACCACTTTAGTAACTCTGGAGAATTTCATAGTAAGTAAAAGATAAGAACATTTTTAGTTACTGATGCAGATAAATAATTGTGAACTAATAAAAAATCATCTCTGTTGGAAAAGCTATGACTCTATAATGTGCTATCACATGTTGTCTGATAAACAGTTACCTATATCATTTAGTAACCTATCTGTAGGTAATTGGAAGACAT